ATAATTTTTGTGGCTCCTGTAAATAAATAATTGAGAGGAAGTTTCAATAGATACGGTGTCTATTTCTGTGATGTTTCTGTGTCTGAATTCTAATATAAATTTTAATATTTATTCTTGAAATTTAAATTTTTTTAGAAATTTATTTTTCTTTAAACCTTCCAAAGTTATCTGAAATCAATTTAACAAGAGGCCCAGGGGCCACAGCGCTCACCTGAGCACATCAGGCTTGAATTTATCCCCCCCTCCAGGCGTTCATCATTTGAACAAATTAAAATCTACACTACCTGAGGATGATTCAATATAAATTTCACTAATCATAGCTTTGAAGTACTTGAAAAGAAGATTTTAAAAAGTTTCCCTATATATCCCTATGTAAAACTTGGGTCGGCTATTTTTGGCCCCACCCTAGCCCCAGGCGTTCATCATTTGAACAAACTTGAATCTACACTACCTGAGGATGCTTCCACATGAGTTTCATCTTTCCTGGCCCAGTGGTTCTCGATAAGAAGATTGTTAAAGATTTTTCTAATATATTCCTATGTAAAACAAGGGTCGGCCATTTTTGGCCCCATCCTTGCCCCGGGGGTCATGATTTGAACAAACTTGAATCTACACTACCTGAGGATGATTCCACATGAGTTTCATCTTTCCTGGCCCAGTGGTTCTCGAGAAGAAGATTTTTAAAGATTTTTCTAATATATTCCTATGTAAAACAAGGGTCGGCCATTTTGGCCCCACCCTTGCCCCGGGGGTCATGATTTGAACAAACTTGAATCTACACTACCTGAGGATGATTCCACATGAGTTTCATCTTTCCTGGCCCAGTGGTTCTGGAGAAGAAGATTTTTAAAGATTTTTCCTATATATTCCTATGTAAAACTTGGGTCGGCCATTTTGGCCCCACCCTTGCCCCAGGGGTCATGATTTGAACAAACTTGAATCTACACTACCTGAGGATGATTCCACATGAGTTTCATCTTTCCTGGCCCAGTGGTTCTGGAGAAGAAGATTTTTAAAGATTTTTTTAATATATTCCTATGTAAAACAAGGGTCGGCCATTTTGGCCCCACCCTTGCCCCGGGGGTCATGATATGAACAAACTTGAATCTACACTACCTGAGGATGCTTCCACATGAGTTTCATCTTTCCTGGCCCAATGGTTCTTGAGAAGAAGATTTTTTAAAACTGCCATTAATTTTTCTCTAATTCATGATTATCTCCCCTTGGAAAAGGGCGTGGCACTTCACTTGAACAAACTTGAATCCCCTTCACCCACGGATACTTTGTGGCAAGTTTGGTTGAAATTGGCCCAGTGGTTCTTGAGAAGATGAAAATGTGAAAAGTTTACGACAACGTCGATGACGACGACTACAACGCCGACGACGACAGACAACGGACAAATTTTGATCAGAAAAAGCTCAGGTGAGCTAAAAACAATGATATTTCAATAAATACTTAAAAACACCTCGAACAAGCCAGGCGCGTAGCATCGTTTGAAAGTGGGGAGGGGGGGGGGGGGGGCAGCCAGAGAATTTTTTTTTACTTACCTGAAAAAGTTGACAGCAAAAAAAAAAGGAAAAAGTTGCCCAAAACCGTAAATCCTATTTGGTTGGGGGGAGGGGGGGTATTGGTAAACTTTTTTTCAGTGTCAACTACTTTCAGTAACATTCTAATACTACATTTTCGGTACATCACTCAAAGTGGGTGGGTGGGGGGGGGGGGGGGCAACCAGCCCCCCCCCCCCCCTGTTGCTACGCCCCTGCAAGCCCCTGTGCACCAAGATGCAATTTTTTAACTTCATTAAGAGGGAAAAATGTGAAATCATGCTGGTTTGAACATCTAAAACATGCTACGCTAAAGTATACAGTGTTATGTAAAGAGATTGTATCTTACTTGATGTAAGTCTACATGATAATTTTTATTGTGAAATGTACCGGGGAGAGTAAGGGCAGAGGCCCCTTCAGGTGTCACAACTTTCAAAGCAGAGGAATCTCGGTTCACATGCTCAAGCCAATAAAATGGAGAGAAAAAAGTAAACATACATTTACTTAGCATTTGTAATAGCAATATTTAACTCTTGTCTTCATTATGTTTTATATCTTGGCCTTTTTTCTTCTTCCACACTTTAAATCCTTCGCCCAATTGGATAAGTTTCTCACCAAATCATTAATTTAACACTACAATGCATACATATTGTACCTTCAAGCGCTAGAGAGTAATCCAAAGGGAGTACAGTGTAATTGGGAAGCATAAAATGCAGAAATAATGATTATTCACCTTTGAATGTCTTTTACACATATTATTTTCCCACCAATTTTTAAAATGTTTTAATATAATCAGATATCGACCATTCATGTTTTATTCTTGCTTCGTTTGTAAATGGCTGCATATTTTGTTTTAAGTCTTTAAAAACTGAGCAAAATTTACCATATTTTTTATACTTTGAAAAACATAACATGACCACTTAGGAGTGTGAAATTAAAATTTAACCATAAACATTGTTTTTTGAATCTCTAGTATTCGATTATAAAAATAAACACAAATTTTAGATATCTCTTTTCATATCTGTACATGGTTTTTCACGAAAAGTACAGAGTTTCAAAATTTACAATAATGAGAAACTTCGTAACCCATTTCCATGGCAACCAAGGTTATTATTCAATAACTATAAATAGATTTGACTTTCACTCACACATCTGTATTAAATTTTGACAGAAAAATCCAAATCTGTAACTATGTGTGGCCAACCAATTTTGATAATTACTGAGAATTGGTCTCAATTTCCTCACACTATGTTGCCATGGTTACTAAATAAAAGAAATCTTGCCAAATTTTCCAAAATGCGTCTCTTCTCTATTTCTGGTTTAATTCAGCAAGGCTACACTTAAATACATTACTTAGAACAATAGTTTGTTTTATGCCCCGGTAATTGTGGATTCGAGGGTATATAGTTTTTGCCCATTCCGTCCGTCCGTCTGTTTGTCTGCAAAAACTTGAACATTGCTCAAAACTTTTCATTGGTTAGAGCTATGACTTTCATATTTGTCAAGTGTATTCCTTGGGACAAGATCTTTCTTTGGATACAAAAATGTTTTTGACCCTAACTTTGAATGAAATTTGACTCTATTTTGCAAGAATTATCCAAACTTCAACCTTGGTCATAACCTTTGAACAGTTGGTGCTAGAGCTCTTATATTTCAGATGTGAATTCCGTAAGGAGTCGGACCTAGTCCTCTTTGGACACGTGTTGAAAGAGAGTGGCCCCACATAGACCACTCTGCTGATTTACATCGTGCCTTGCCGAAGTCAATCAAATAACATTTTTGCCATCATAGATAGATATGATTGCGAAATCATTTTTATACAAAGTTACTTGCTAACAATTCTATGTTCATAAATTTATGTATAGACTAGCATGACTAGTACATACTAACATTGTGCTTAGTAATGAGTATTTTCACTTACCCCCCCCTCCCCGAAAAAATATTTTTTTAAAGTTTTAATTTAACCTTTCACCCCTACCACGCTCAAAACCCCACTCCTATATTTTAACAAATGTTCTCATTTTACTTTCTATTGTGTATTTATGTTCCGTTTGTTTGTACATTTTTTTTATTTTTTATATGTTGAGAGATGCTCATAACATTGCGGATTGTACACGAGGACCAATACTTCTTGTTCCCTTATCCAGTCATCACCATTTCATCTTATTTCATATTACCCCACCTGACCCGATTTCAACATTTCTAAACATGTACATCAATTTATTCTGCCTCTAAAAGATTTGTAACTTGAATATTACTTGTGGCCGTATTGTTGTTATTATTTAATCCTGTACTGTTTTGTATGTCTGTTTATTCCTCATTTACTATCAATGTTAATTCATGTTATGATATCTCTCTCTACACTCGACTACAGTGTTTTTTCTCATTTTTCATCTTTATTTGTTCAGTTATTTTTCCTATTATATCTAGATCTGTCATTCAACAAGGGGAAATGTTTATTTATAGTTGAAAGTTAACTTAAGGAAACGGATTAATATAAGTTGTTAGAACTTGTTTCCGAATCCTGTATGTATTATCTCCTGTGTATATTTGATGTCTAACTTAAATGAAATAAAGTTTAAACTAACATAACCACAAATAGATCGGCCGCTGCCGATAATGACTAAGTGACCGGCTCGATATGTATGGGCCCACAGATATAGCCAGAGGTCGGACAAATATGGCGGACAAATTCTTTTTACGCATCGTGTTCAGCTTTCATGCAGTCTACTTCTGTGCCAAGATATATTGAAATGAGATAAAGTGTAGAAGTAGCATTTTGAAGACTCGTTATAGACGGAGGACGGGCACCTAACTATCGCATAAGCTATTCTTGTCTGACCAGTAACACTAAAAATCAAAGTTATTACATTTTGACTGGTTGCCTATAATTGATGAATTTGCATATTAAAGACACTTCCATGATAAATAAAAGACGAGACCCCCGTTAGCATCGGACGATGGAAAATGAATGTAATGGCAGTATCCATGTTTTGCTCGGAAAATTCAAAATATATGTCAGATCAAAAAGTAAAATAGGAGGTGCATTAAATTTCCTTCAGTGGTATGAGAGGAGTTGCGGATAAGAGATGGGTACCCCAAAGCGTAACAGACGGACGGACATACCGATTACTATATACCCTCCCACTTTTCAAGCGGGGGGTACAAAAATATAGAGAAAAACAGCTTTTTTGCTTGTATCTCATTCTATTCAACGATTCAATGCTCTCAAAAGCTTCTTTTGAAATCATATTTTTATATCACATATCATATTGAAACTGCAATCCATATAAACTAATGATTTAAGTAGTATTTGGAAATTTCTTTTAAGTCTATGATTGTTAAAAATTTTCGACCTAAATCACTGATAGTTGCATTTTGATAATCAGAGAAAATATTTGAATGCCTTGATATATCTCTCTGCCCCAAATTTCACCAATGTTTTAATAAAAATGC